TCCCTCACCATCACCCAGGTGAAGCCCACCATTTGCTGTCTCGACCATCTCCCCACCCAACTTCTGGTCACTTAACTCCCCCTCCTCTGCCCACTGCTGGCTGACACCAATCAACCTCTCCCTCCACTCCCTACTTGAGCCCCTCCAATCCAGTTTCCACCCTGTCCACAGCACAAAGACAGCACTTATCAAAATAACAAATGATGTCCTCTTTCTCTGTGACAAGGGCTCCCTCCGCCTTCTCGTTCTCTTCGATCTCTCCACGAGTTCAACACAGTTGATCATGCCATCCTCCTCCACTGGCTCTCCTCCGTCATCCACCTCAGTGGGATCGCACTCATATGGCTTGAGTCCCACTTAACCAACCGCCAATAATACATCTCGGCAAATTTTTCCTCCCACCCCTGTCCTGTCACCTGCGGGCTACCCCAGGGCTCCATTCTTGGCCCCCTTCTTTTCCTTATCTACATGCTCCCTCTCAGTGATGTCATCTGAACACATGGGGTCAACTTCCACATGTATGCGAATAGCACCCAAATCTACTTCTCCTCCTCAGCTGTGACTCCCAGTCCGTCTATGTCCTGTCAGCTTGTTTGACGCACATCAAGGCCTGGATGAGTGCAAATTTCCTGCAGCTGAGTGTCAGCAAGACAGAAGCCGTACTCATTGGCTTCCGTCAACGTCTTCTCTCCTGCAGGCTTGAACTCCTCAACCTCCCCTAAGACTCACCGAACCCATGCGCAACTTAGGTACCAGATTATAAAATGGGACACATTAGTCCTGAATGTAGATCGAAAATAGAATGGCAGATCTGTGGTAAAATGGTGCATATGATGAAAAATTGTGAACAGAAATGAAAAGATGAAAAGAGAGAAAAGTGCCAGTTTGGATCTTGGTAGGACAAATGAATTCAGCATTGAAACATTTTCATTTACTGGAAGCCTTTTCATTTACTGAAAGCAGTCCTGGTCAGGGAACGGATGTGAAATAGAAAGATCTTGGTAGGACAAATAAATTTAGAATCAGGAAAGTTGTGAGGGGAACTGAGAGCTAAGGCCAGGCAGAGACAGGTCCTAGTGACCCTTCGATATACCTCTAGACCAAACAGGGAGATGATTCATTGGCTTATCTCAGGGGTGGACAAAAGACGGCCCGCGGGCCATATCTGGCCACCAAATGATTCTATCCGGCCTGCCAATAGAAAAAATTATAGTTGGTTTAGTCCCGGAAAGTGGCACAAAATTGGCATTTGAATCTGACCGGGAACATCAGCCAATCACACGGCTTAGTTGTGCGCCGCTCCCTTAAGTGTTGAATCAGGCTGACGTCAGGAATGTACGGATCGGCAAATTTTCAAACACGTGCGCGTGGCAACCGCGGCAATAGTTTTCACTGAAGAGGACGTTCTAAATGAGTTTATGAAAGAAGCGGAAAGTGGACGCTGAAGGCCGAATATTCAACAAAGAATGGACTTCTCAATATTTTTTACCAGTGTGGGTGGAAAATAACAACAACAAGATTGCAATTGTATAGCACCTTTCACGTTGGGAGGACATCCCAAGGCGCTGGACATTGTACAGCATTTTAGACCCAAACTGGGGTCAGGGGCGGAGAAGGGAGGGGAGGGGAGGGGAAGGAAGGATGGCCGATGGCTTGGTCGAAGAGGAGGGTCTTGAGGCGGGACTTGAAGGAGACTAAGGATGAGGAGGAGTGATTGGGGGATGGAATTCCAGAGGTTGGGGATAGAGTGGCTGAAGGCTCTCCCGCCAATGGTGGGGGGGGCGGTGGGTTGGGGGACGTGGAGCAGCCAGAGCCGGCTGAGCGGGTTGGTAGGGGGTTAGGAGGTTGCAGAGATAGGGTGGGGCGAAGCCATGGAGGGCTTTGTAGGTGAGACCAGCATCTTGAATTGGATCCTCTGAAGGATAGGGAGCCAATGGAATAGGGCGAGAATGGGGGAGATGGGGTCACGGAGTTTGGTGTGGGAGAGGACATGGGCAGCAGAGTTCTGGATTATCTGCAGTCTGTGGGGGGAGAAGTTGGGAAGGCCGACAAGCAGGGCGTTTGCATAGTCGAGCCTGGAGGTGATGAAGGTATAAACAAGAGGCCTGAGGGGTGAGGTAGTGGCGGAGTCGGGCGATGTTACGGGGGTGAGGGAAGGCAGAGCGGGTCATGGATTTGATGTGGGGAAGAAAAGACAGTTGAGGGTCGAACAAGACACCTAGGTTCCTGACTGGCGGTGAGTTGTATGTGCAACCATGGAGGTTGGTAAACAAATAAAACAACATAAAAAAAATAAAAATGAATTAACAAATAAATAAAGAAAATAAAAACAGTGTGCAGTTACAAAATAAAGTAAGCAATTTTGCATGTTTTTCACTGGCACTCGATGAGAGTTGTGATATCAAAGACAAAGCCCAGTTGATCATTTCTATTCGAGGTATCACCAGACATTTTGAGCTCACAGAAGAATTGGCATCAATGCAGTCAATGAAAGATACAACAACTTTTTGGAGGCAGTAAATATGTGTATCTTAAAATTAGGAGTGGAGTGGAAAAAATTGGTGAATGTGACCACTGATGGAAGCCCAAATCTAATAGGCAAAAATGTTGGGTTAATGAAAAGAATTCAAAATCAAGTCAAAGAAACAAATCCAGAACAGAATATTGTTTCTCTACACTGCATTATCCACCAAGAGGTCCTCTGTAAGAGTGTTCTAAAACTAAACAATGTCGTGGACACAGTTACAAAAATGGTCAATTACTTTGGAGCAAGAGGATTAAACCACAGGCAATCTGTAACTCTGCTTGAGAAATTGGAATCCGAGCACACGGATGTTCTGTATCACATGAGTGTAAAATGGCTTAGTTTAGGAAAGGTCTTGAAAAGAGTGTGGGAACTGAGAAAAGAGATTGATTTATTTTGGGGCATGAAACAAAATGATTTGGATTTCCCACAACTGAATAGTGCAAATTGGCTCTGATTTCGCATTTGCCGTTGATATCATGGGCCACATGAATGAACTGAATTCAAAACTGTAACCGAAGAGGGCCTTTGTGCATGATTTGTATTGCAGTGTCAAGTCATTTATGACAAAATTATTTATTTTATCACGTCAGATAGGAAACAGGCAGTTCGCCCACTTTCCAATTTTGGGGCAGATTACTATTTGCGATCAAAGCCTTAAAAAGTATGCTTCGTCACTACTTGACTTATATGCTGAATTTTCTCACCGATTCCAGGATTTCAATTTGATTGAAAATGACCTCTTTGGTCTCTTCACCTTTCTGATATGATATTGACAAAGCCCCATTTGACCTCCAAGTCGAGTTTATTGACCTGCAATGTGATCCATTGCTTGCCGAGCAATTCAATTCAGTGTTGCTTCCCAGTTTTTACGCTTCTCTTAATGAATATCTTTCCAAAAATGAAGGCTCATGCCCGGAGGATGCTTGTGCAATTTGGATCAACATACGTATGCGAGGAGACATTTTCTGTGATGAAATTCAATAAATCAAATCATAGATCTGTGATGACCGATGACCACCTTGCAGCAGTACTCCGCATTGCAACAATGGAGACGATGCCTGATTTCAATTGTCTGGTTAACGCACATCAGCGCTTTCATTCTTCCCATTGAGTGAGCATCTCACATTCTCATCAATATGTGAATAAATTAATAAATATTGAATAAATGTCTGCTCAATGAGTTGTTTTTATTTAACCTAATTTTAATGAATGTCAATTATACATACTTTATTTTATGCATGTACAAATGTAAGCCTTGACTTTGAGCTATTATTATTTGCATCTATATTAAGTGTGTGGCTCCAAAGCTTACCAGAACTCGTGAAGTGGCCCTCCAGCCAAAATAATTGCCCTCCCCTGGCTTATCTGAAGGCACTGAAAACAGTTAAGTCTACTTAATACTTGTGAGGAGTTAGAGAAGATCAAAATGCCCTTAACTCTCTCCACAACTTTTTGCAGATCTCCCTGCTGGAGCAAAAATAGGATAATACCGATTGGAATGACTTAACTAATAAGGTTAAAAGAAGTTAAAATAAGGTTAAAAGAACCAATTAAAAATCACAGAAAAAATATTAAAGTAAGGAAATAAGAATGTTCTGGGGAGATTTATTGAAAAAATTGGGTTATAAAAGAAATTTTAAAGTTACAAAATGTCTCAGTTTTATGTATTTTGTGTTTATGTAATTTATGTATTAAAGTAAAAAAACATGGTAGGTCTGACTCTGCTCTGGATGCAGAGTATGAGCCAAACTCTACCGAGGTTCCATATGTATTGGATAATAACAATGTAAAGACAAGGGAGAGAAAGACTCTGCAGCAGAGAATGTTACAAGTTGAAAGAAAGAAAGAAGGAAGAGATAAATAAAAATAATAATAATAATCTTTGCATTTGATATAGTGCTTATCACATCTTCTAGATGTTTCAAAGCGCTTTGCAGAATAGACTGTAAAGTGAATTGACTGTATATTTGTGGGCGAAACGCGGCAGCCAATTGCGCACAGCAGTGTCCCACAAACAGTAGTGGATTGAAGTGACCAATTTTTTTTTTTTGAAGGATTATTATCAGGGGTGTGGAGTAAGGAAACTTGCCCAAGGTTTTGCCCGGCCGGGAATCAAACCCAGATCTCTCACTTGTGAGGCGAGTGCTCTAACCACTGAGCTACAGGACTCCTGAAAGAAAGAAAGAAAGAAAGAAAGACAGAGAGTGAAAAAAAAGTAAGAAAAACATATGAACTTAAGAACATAAGAAATGGTAGACGAAAAAGACCAAGGTCCATACAGTTTACCTTCCACCTTCCTGGCGGTCGCTGCACATGTCCCAAACTCCCTATGTACTATATCCCATAAAGTTATTTCCTAAAACAAAACTATCTAATCTGTGTTTGAAAGAATCAACACTTCCTGCTTCACGGAGGGAGCCTGTTCCACAGGTTTACTAATCACTCACTGAAATTTATCCCCCTTCAATCGCAGGCTGTATCCTCTGATCCTGTGGAAAAAGAAATTCAATGTGAAAAAGGACAGTTAGAACACCAGAAAAAGCAAAGTTTTAAAGAGTGAGTATAATGTTCTTTGGAAAAATTGTTGCAGCTTTGTGCTCAAAACTCAGTGACCAAAATTTATTTGAAATTTGCTCCCATGACTGTGTAGGGCTGTGAATTTATGGTATGATTCAAGAACATGCCTTGCACATGTCATACATAAAATGACACAATTGTGGCAAACATTCCAGGATAAATAAAAGAAGGGTAGCGACAATTAACCAGTCAAATGGCAAAGGCAAATTTGAAAATCAAATTTATCAAAAGCAAAGTGATCCCCAAATTCACATTACATGCATGACAGCTACCAAGGCCTCCGCGGACTAGGTTTCTGTGGCGAATGTTGCAGCCTTCAAATGGATATTAGTGGAAGGCAAACAGGCACAACATGATAAAAAAAAGAGTGAATATGTCAGATGTTTTGGCATTGCAACAGTTAACCACAGTAAAGTACAGAGAGATGATTATGCTGAAGGTTGCAATCTGTAATCTTGTACACATTTGTAAGGTGTTACCACAAACATATGTGTTCCAGAGATTTAGTACCAGTACCCAATTAGTAAAAGGAAGTGCCCAATTAGTAAGATTTACTAAGGTGTCTTTGACCAACAGAGAACTCAAGGAAAGATAAAGATTTCCTGATAACATTAATGGATAGTCAAAATACTCATTAGTTGGGGGTTTGTAGAACTTTATACAAGGAACTATCAGATAATATTGATGGTTAGTCGAGATGCTCACTAATTTAGTGTCCTGCAAGAACTGATATCGATGACCTATAGATGACCTCTAGATTAGAGTTGAGATCATTCTGTTTCAGAGTTCCATAGTGGACTAACATAAGTATATAAAAAGTGAGTGTCCAGCAATCATTTGAACCAGAACAGTCAGTGTGTAGCTGATCATCTATACCTTGTAATAAAACTCTTATTCCAATACTTTACATCTTAAGATGTACTTTACATCTGTTGTTCAGCATCGAACATGTAAGCCCTTCGGAGGGAAGTTGATGAGGTTGACCCGGGTTCCTACATACTGCTGGTAAACAGAGGCATCTGGAGTAAGGAAACTTGCCTAAGGTTTCACTGCTCTGCCCAGGAATTAAACCAGTGCAGGGCTTGCGATGTGAGTGTTCTAACCACTAGACTACAGGACTCCAATTGGAGTTGAGGTACAGATCAGCCATGGTCTAATAGAATGGCAGAACAGGCTCAAGGGTCTGAATGGCCTCCTCCTGTTTCTATGTTCCTATCTATGTGTTTGTGTGTGTATCTCTCTCACACTCTTGCTCCCTCACTCACTCTCTCTGTGTCTCTCTCAGTCTCTCTCTCTCTCTCTCCCCCCGTTCTTAGCAAATTCCATGTCAATGACGACCTGAGAGAGAGAGAGAGAGAGAAAGACTGAAAGAGAGAGTGTGAGAGAGCCAGCCATGTCAATTTGTATAGCGCCTTTCACATCAGGAAGACGTCTCAAGGCACTTGACAGTCAGGTATTTGGACCTGAGCTGAGGGTTGGGATCAGGGAGGATGGAGCGTGCCCGAAGGCATGGTCGAAGAAGAGGGTCTTGAGACATGCCTTGTCAAGGAGGTAAGGGAGGGAGCAAGGTGAAGGGACTGTGGGATGGAGTTCCAGAAGGTGGGGGCAGAGAGGCTGAAGGCCCGACCGTCAATGGTGGGGGACATGGAGAAGACTAAGCGCAGGTAGCGGACAGGTTGATATGCCATTTAGGAAGGAGCAAAGGTGTGGAAGGCTTTGAAGGTGAGTACAAGGATTTTTAACTCTATCCTCTGGGGGATGGGAAGCCAGTGGAGCCGGATGAGGTTGCGGGTGATGGGGTCACAGAGCCTGGTGTGGGAGAGGACACAAGCTACAGAGTTCTGAATGATCTGCAGCTTGTGGAGGGAAGAGTTGGGGAGGCTGACAAGCAGGGAGTTGGCATAGTCAAGCCTAGATGTGATAAATGTGTGGATGAGGATTTTAGCGGCCTGCAGTTGCGGAGCCAGGCAATGTTGCAGAGATGGGGAAGGCAGAGCGGGTCATGGCGCAGATGTGGGTTAGAAAAAACAGTTGAGGGTCAAATAAGACCCCCAAGGTTCCGGACTGGGATGCTGTCAGCGCCTGAGGTGAGGAAGTGCTGATGGGAGACAATCGGGAGAGCCTCGGTCTTGTTGATGTTCAACTGGAGAAAGTTGGCTATCATCAACGACTTGATGTCTGACAGACAATCCTGTCCTGGAGTCCTGGAGTCAAGGATGGAGGCAGAGAGATAGAGTTGTGTGTCATCTGTGTACATATGGAAGGTGACCGCATGTCTACAGATGATGTCATTAAGAGAAAGTGTGGAAGGCGACATTAAAAGTACCATCAGCCTACAGAGGTTATACGACCCTGACGATTGTATGGTTGGTTCACGTGATAGATAATTGAAGCATGTACACAGTGTTGGCACATAGCCTTATACAGTGGTCTTACTCAAGGTCTTTACACAAAGTCTCAGACTTTCCAACCTTTTCCCAGACTAGAAGAGATGATTGTTAAAACCAGATGGTACCACTCTTCAGGGTCAGGTAAGATCACATGACTCTGATATGAGTATGTGAAATTATAGCAAACAAAGAAAAACTGTTAATTGCTATGATTGGATGTGAAAATGCTCAGAATTATCACGGGTCATGGTGAGAAATAATCATAGGTTGTAAAATGCCAATAATCTGTTAAGAAAAAGAATATAACCCTTTGTTTTTGTACATTCATTGGAAGTACCATCTCGGGTGACTTGAGAACCTGATTGGGTGCTTCCCCTTACCGCTAAGCTAGTAATAGTTGTTAAGCTCACAATAAAGCTTGTAATACAGCTCGTAATAAAACTTAAACTGATTACTGTTAATATTTGTATGGTCTATGCTTTTATTCCACAACAAAAACATATACATGTTGAAGAGGAGAGGACCAAGGGCACAGCCCTGAGGAACGCCGCACGAGACGGTGCGGAGACTGGAGGAGAAGTCATTAGTGGAGATGAGGTGGATACGGTGTGAGAGGTACGATCTGAACCATTCAAGGACAGAACCATGAAGGTTGAGGTGAGAGGAGAATCAATGGAGGAGGGTAGTGATCAACGGTGTCATAGGCAGCAGAGAGGTCAAGTAGGATGATGAGGAGACAGATGGAACCCTGAGTCACATAGTGATGTAATGATGCTGTTTCTCTCTCTCTCTCTTTCTCTCTCTGAATCTCAGCCTCAGCTGCCGTTGCTCCCCCCGCACCACCCTGTGTCATTTGTCAAGCTGTTTCTGCGAGAAACAGAGAGAGAATGACTGAGAGAGAGTGAGTGTGAGAGAGAGACTCAAGAAAGAGAGAAGTTAGTTACTGTTCTAACCTCATCTTCCAACTCATTGTGAGGAACTGAGAAGCAGTTTGTGATTACAACTGTGTGTTTATCTACCATTCCTGAAGACACACATACAGGCATTAATACATAAATAATCATCATCAATAAATCATTGACAATCATTATTAAATGTTAATGATTATTATAAATCATCGATAATCATCGATAATCCTCAGTAATGATAAACACCAATAATCAAAACACAAATAAATCATCACTAAATGAATACTAACATTAATAATCATTATTAATCATCAATAAATCACAAATAATCAATAATCCGGGGGGAGGAAAGCAGGGTCTCCTTGGAGCTGAACTGACTCCAAGGTGACATGCCTGGCAATGGAATATGGGAATCGAGCCCAGCCCTCTGTGACGGTCTCTGGTCTGGTTCCTGAACCAAGCAGGTCCGCAGTATCCCAGGGTACTTACTGCTGATGACAGCACAGTCCAGCCTGGCTCATCAACAGGACCTGGAAGGCAGACCAGGCACTGGGGCATGGAATCCTCCCACTCAGCTCCTGTTACCTCGGCAAACCAAAGCCCTAGCGGCTAGGGTAGTCCTAGCTGGCCAAGCAGAGGGAAAGCTTGCCAGACAGTGATATCAATGGCCAGCTATGTGGTTTTAGTTGGTTAGACTCGAACAGTTACCCTAATGCATACTTTGGGGTCCCCAAGCCTCGAGCTTTCGCCAACCAGCGCCTAATACTCTCCGGAATTAGATAAATTGGATGTGTCCCTCCAGGGAGAGAGAGTGCACATTCCATTCCAACAATCCATCTCTCTGATTTCCATGTGTAGGTGGGATGGCTAGAAATATCAGCTTAGTTTGGATATCTTAAGCACAGTGGTGGATTTCAACCCGGCTGGGCAAAAAGAGTCCTCGTTGCGCTGCTCATAGCTGTCGGTGATGGCACCGAGAACTACAGGATGGAGTGGGGGGAGCAGCGACAGCTGAGGCTGAGATTGAGAGTCACTATGTGACTCAGCGAGAGTGTAACAATGTCACATAATAATCAATAATAGGTAATCAATAAAATAATACATTGTAATAATATAATTTGTAATAAAATTGTAATAAACTATCATTTATTTTAATTTAATACTTAATCATTTAAAAACTAATTTAACACAATTAAATACAATAATTTCAATTAATATTAGGGTTAAGGTTAGTTTAATTTATCATTAAAATAATTACATTTAATTGAACACTGTATCATTTAATACAATTACATTTAATGTAACAATTCAACATAATTACATTATATAAATTACTAAATTTAATTATAAATAAAGTCACTGCCTCACTGTGACATCCTACGTTAATGTGATCAGAAAGGGTACAAACATCATAATAAACCTTACATTTGATGTATCATGTGGAGAGATGTCTTAAATTGCTTCACAGAATATACTGTAAAGTATACTCACTGTGTGTTTTGTGGGCAAAACACCCACACACACTCTCTCTCTCTCTCTTTCAGTTTCTCTGACAACCTCTCCATCTCAGTCTCTCTCTCAGCTTGTAATAATATAATCCTTGCATTTGATTTGGCGCCGTATCACATTGTTGAGA